CGACTGTGTTAACCTGCGCTGGGAGAAAGCACAGCCACTCGTGGATCTGCGATCTCCACGCTTCCCTGTGGCCAAGGCTGCGTGGGAGTACGGGTCTGTGATAAAGGAGCAGGTGAAAGGCAGAGGCAGGCGAGCGAGCGTTCAGGTGTGAAGTCGTCCCCGAGCATCCCGACGGACGTCAGCACTGGCTGAGGTTTTGGCCACTCCGGCGACGTGCAGTGGGCGCCCGGCGAGGGGGCCAGCTGATGTCTGGGCCTGTCAGCACTGGCTGAGGTTTTGGCCACTCCGGCGACGTGCAGTGGGTGCCCGGCGAGGTGGCCAGCTGATGTCTGGGCCTGTGGGAGCCGCCGGTGTGGGGCTTCTGAAATGAGGAAGCAGCGTGACTCAGGCCGAAGACGCTGGCTCTTCCTCCCCCTCCTTTGACCGTGTGCTGGGCAGAAAACTTAGTTTTGTAAACTGGAGGTTTCCCCGGGAAGACGGCTGGTGGAGGGGTGGGTGGGGTGGCAGCAGAGCCCTCCTCCTGCATGAGAGGCTCAGGGTGGGGCCGGTTTCCAGGGAGAGCAGCTGTGACATTTCCAGGACATGCTCAGGAGCGGGAGGTGGCTGTGCCGGCAGGTGCAGTCCTCGGCAGTGGGCCACGGTGGCCATGGTCCCACCAGGGAGCAGCCTGGGGATCCAGAGCCAATCTGGGGGCCTCCCTGGGGACCAGGTCATGGCTCCACAGAGCAGTAGTCATGGGCTCTGGACAGCATGTGAGGCTGCCCACAGGTGGCCTCCCAGACCACCATGCTAAGACACCCCTCTCACCCTGTGCCTGGGGCCACCAGGCTCCTTCTCCCCCATCTCCGTGACTCAGACCTCCCGGCCTGACTTCCTGTCTTGGTCAATTTCACTTCCTAGTTCATGTCTCCAGAACGAAACTCCTTCCTTAGAAATCAGAAGTGGGGTCGGGGATGCGGACCGCAGGGCATGCCGGCGGGGGCTGCTGTCTCGAGCCAGCGCAGAGCATGTGCGGGGTGTGCCCCTGGGTGTCCCATGGCTCTTGGGCTCTTTTGGGGAGGGCCTAGGACACCCTGCCTGACTCTTCCCTTGGGAGCCCCTTCCCTGGGCCCTGTGAGGTGGCAGAGATGCCTTGGGGAAGCCCAGGGAGCCCTGTGCCCTGCCGCGGGTGTCTGAAACTGTTGCCTGGCGCCTCTGCAGGGAGCCAGTTCTGGAGCGATGAGACAGTGCAGGCTGGGGAGCAGGGTGGCTGGGCACTCTGGAGGAGGTGATCAGGGAAGCCATCTCCCAGCGGCATCATTCCAGCCAGACTGGGAGGAACACGGGCAGGTCTGTGAGAGCCGTGTCGGCAGTGGGTACAGGTAGTGCAACAGTCCAGAGGCTGAGCGACTTCGGTGAGGAGCAGGGGAGGGGGAGGCTGCAGGCAGGTGCCCTGGGGCCCCCTGGGCCACGGGAGGCCTTTGGGTTTTATTCCACGAGCCCAGGGCTGTTGTCGAAGACTTGGAGCCAATGCGTGACATGATCAGATTGGCATCTCTGGAGCTTACTCAGACCTCCCTGCGGAGAAGGGACTGTGGGACCTGGCGGCTAGACCCAGGTCCCTGATGTCCCGCCTTGGCCTCGAGCCCCATGGGGAGGGCTGGGGGAGGCTGGGGTACAGAGGAGCCCCAGAGCTGCCTGCCGCTCCTGGCTTTCCATGGGCAGGATGGAGACTGAGGGTTAAAGGGAAAAGCAGATTAGTGACCCCCCGAGTCGGGGAAATCGGTCGTGACCTGGATCTAGCTCCAAAGTTCATCTCAGTTAACTTTCAACCTCCCTGGAGCTGCCCAGGACGGCCCAGCAGGTGTTGTGGGGAGCCGGCCAGTAGGGCAGTTGGAGAATGGGAATGGGGAGGAGACAGCCCCAGCCCTGAGACCTCGGGCAGCAGAGCCCTCCGGAGACCAAGCCTTCGCCCACCCTCAAGGGCTGGCGTCTCCTCCATCCTAAACCTCTCCCAGGAACGGGAAGCCAGCCCTGTCTTCCCGCAGTCCCTCACCGGGGGCCAGGCCAGCCATGGCAGCGGCGGCAGGCTGGCCTGGGGGCAGACTGCAGGTGGAACTGGCGAGGGGGCAGGCGGAAGGAGCTGTTTGCTCCCGTCTGCCGGGGGTGGAGAAGCTCTGTTTTTCTGGAACCCTCAGCTGACGCCGCCACTGCCACGGATGGGGAGAGAGGGAGGGGAAGGCAGTGCCAAGTTGGCCCGCCCCTTCTGAACCTGGGTCTCTGCCACGCTCCCGCCCGCCCTGCTCTGAGCCTCCGTCTGGAGGTCACGCTCAGTGCTGACGCCACTCGCTGGGTCAGGCCAGCTTGGGGTCCGGGGGCTTCCGGCTGGCACCCCTCGCTGCGTCTTGGACGCCTCTGTGCCCAAGGAGCCCTAGACGCTGTGCTCCCTTGGTGACGCCTGGCACAGGGACACCCCGCGAGCACAGCTGACAACTTGCCGGCGCCTGCCCCTGGGGAAGGGTACCTCGCAGGCGCGGCAGCTGGGGGCACGCGGCGGAGCCAGAGGAGCCCTGGGCCACCCACCCTGCGAGCCCAGCACTGCTGCCTCCCGCCCTCCTCGAGCCAGCCTCCCCCTCCTCCCTCCCGCCCTCGCCCTCGCAGTTGGACAGAGAAGGATGTGAGGCAGCAGCGCTGAGCCGCCAGGAGCAGACGCCAGCCTGAAGCCTCGCCGCCGGCCGCGGCCGCCCAGCCTCCCAGCCCACCTCTCCCAGCCCCGCTCCCTGGAGCATCCTCCCTGCCGGATGTTTCCAGAAAACTTGGCCGAGGGGGAGACGCGGATGAGAGGATGTGAGTGAGTGGCCGCGGGAGGGGTTGGGGGCTTCGGGTGCTGGTGACAGGGACCGCGGTGTGGCCGGGAGGAAAGTGGCCCGTGGGAAATCGCAGCTGGGCAGTCAGGGTTGGACAGGGACGTGGGGTTGTGGTCCCACCATCTGCCCCCTGGTGCCCCCTGCCCCGTCATCTGGCGATTGGGCTGGGGCTCCCATCGACAGGGCCAGACCCAGGACTGTGCTGGGGAGGGCCAAGGGTCCTGGCGGCGTGCTCACAGGCGGGCTGTCCCGGAGGACGGCGTTTCGGCCGGGGCTGGCGGGCCGGCTCCGAGGCACATTGGGGCATAAAGCAGTTTTCTCTGTGCCCAGCTCCCTTGACCTGGGGCTCCCAGAGCCGGAGCCCGGGAGCCTTCCACCTGCAGTTAGGGACCCGAGGTCCAGGGCACCAGCAGCACACTGCCCAGAGCTCCTCAGGAAGGGCCAGGCCCCCACTCCGCTCCCCTGCAGCTCCTCGCTCCTGAGAGCGCGCCCCACCCCACCCCAGCAGGCCCCACCCCTCCCCTGGTTCCGGCCTGCCATCCCTGCAGCCCGCCACGCTTGCCGGGACTCTTGGCCCTGGCTGGGGAAGTATAAATGAACGCATGTCCCGTCCCCGTCCCCGCCGGGCTGTGGAGCAGCAGCTGCTGCTGGCGCGGGCGGAGGGAAAGGTCAGGGGCCGCGTTACACTTGATCCCACGCCTCGGCCCTCCCCTTCCGCGCCTGTCCTTGAGGAACCCTGAGGACCTGGCTCCCAGGCGGCTGCAGGCGAGCAGGTGGCCTGTCCGTCCACAGCCACCCCCGGGCTGCCGGAGCCCAGAGGGCTGGGACAGCAGGAAGCCTGGCCCCCACGCCACGCTGCCCCTGCCCTGTCCACCAAGCTCAGGTGAGGTGGTGTGACCCCCGAGCCCTGGCATCCCCATCACGGGGACAGGAAAACGGCCGCGGCCCCACGGCTAGGGTAAGATGGGACCGAGTCTGCAGGCTTTGTGAACTCCGTGCCCCTCAGTTGTGTGTCGCCGTGGCTTGTGGGTGTTTTTCTGCTCTTATTTTACCTTGGCCGGAGCCTCCTGTGAGCAAGTCCTTCCTGTGGTTAGGATGAATGAGCCCAGAGCATGCCGGGACAGACAGCCCCTGCAGAATCCCAGTCGTAGCTCTGCTTGACGCGTAATTCGATTCAAGGGGTCGGCCTAAGAGCTTGTCACGGACGTCTTTCTCTGACACGGTTCAGAGTACAGCGGGGACACAGAGGCTGCCTGTCTCACCACCGGCCTGCTGCTCTTCAGGGGGCCTCTGGCCTGCACCGTGGCCCCTGTGGGTAGATGTGTCCCCTCTCCTCTCAGCGTGGGAGGTGGGCCACACAAGGTCATGCTGTCAGAGGTGCAGCGTGCAAACAGCCACGGGCCGCCCCGTGCCCAGCTCGCAGGGCAGGTGGGCTGAGCTGCGGCCCCAAGGTGTAGTTGGACTGCTGACCTGGCTCTCACGGGGTCAGAGACAGAGCCTGGGAGGCGGCATGTAGCCCTGGCCTGGGCTCTGGGATGGAGGGAACTTGTGCTGGCCCAGGTGGGTCCAGGGCAGGGCCTGGCAGTTTCTGGAGGGGTTCTCCCAGCAGGAGGTCTGCAAGGCTGTGAGAACCTCCCAGTGAAGGCTGTGATTCGGTGTAAATCTACTCCCAGCCCAGAACCAGCTCAGTGGGCCCTGGCTTTGCTGTGGGCCTTGCAGTGTCCACAGGGAGCTTTGTGTCCCGGGGTGCCCCATTAACCTGGGTACCAAGGCTCACAGCCCGGCTCATTCCCACTCTGACCACCCTCTCCTCCTGGTTCACCAGTGTGTCTATCTCCCTAGCCTGTGTGGGCACACCCGGTCTCCCAAGGTAGCTGCACACAATCTGGGCTCTCCCCCCATGGGGGGAGTCAGGAGGAGGGGACCGTGGGGTCCATGTCCTGGATGTCAGCCCTTGGCCCCCAGATTTTCACCAGCGGCCTTGGCGGAGAAGGCTGACCCGCACCCCAGCCCACAGCCGAGGGCTGAGGACGACTCCCCTCCCAAGTCCCCCGCGTGGTGCCCTGTGGCCATCCTGCCCAGGCAGCCGCCCTCCGCAGCAGCCCGGGCCCCACCAGGCCCCAGCCCGGCCCTCACCGTGCCCTCTCTCTGCAGGCCTCCTGGAACACGGCCGGAACTGGTCGGCCATCGCCCGGATGGTGGGCTCCAAGACCGTGTCCCAGTGTAAGAACTTCTACTTCAACTACAAGAAGCGGCACAGCCTGGACGCGATCTTGCAGCAGCACAAGCTGAAGATGGTGAGCGCGTGCTGGCTCCGGCTGTCTGGGCCGGGCCGGGCTGGGCCTTGTGCCGGCAGTCCCCTGTGACTGGGGAACTGCCCGGGGTGCGCCGAGCGGGACAGTGCCGGGTGCGCGGTGCTGCACTCCCTCCTGGACACTGCCCCCTCCTGCCACCTCCCTGCCCCAGCCCCTCGTCTGCTTGCTGCTGCGCCCCTGGGGCCTTCGCCCTTGGTGAGCTGGGGGTGCAGCAGGCGCTGGCCAGCCAGGAGTCTGCACGCAGCACCCGGGAATGAAGCCAGAGGCAGAGAGGAAGGCCCGGTGGGGGTGGGTTGCGCGTCTCACCACCTGCCCGCCCTTTTGACCTCATAGTTTTGGGGCCGCAGCCCAGAGGGGAGGGCAAGTCTGGGGGAGCAGGAGGCAGGCGCGGGGAGGCTAGACTCCCCTCCAGGAGCACAGAAGGGCGGGCTTGCCTCACCGAGCGTGTAAATGGTCCCCGAGGAGCGGCCGCTTCCTCTGCAGCTGTTTCTGGGAATCCAGGACCGGGGGGGGGGGGGGGT